TTTTTTTTTTTTTTTTTTTGTTCTCTCTCTCACACACACATTCATTTATTTATTTATTTTATTATTCCTTGTGAATTGTAGCTACACTGTGTAAATGGGCTGTTTCCCTTTTTTTTTGTTTTTTTTTTTCCCCATATATCTGCTTGATTTGTTATTATGTTTTTGTTTTCTCTTGTTATATTAGTTCATGTGAATAAAGAAAATAAGATATATACAATATATATCTATAATATATGAAATGATATCGCATGATCCCAATTTAATATATACAAGAAAAAAAAATGGTTCACTTTGGTTTTACAACAATTTATATAAATATGAATGTCATTATATATATATATATATGTACATAGGCGTATGTGTACGGATATTTATACACATATAATTCTTTGGTTCTTATTCCCAATTATATACAACTGAACGTTTTCCTGGTTTTATTTTCTTTTATTCTTTATCATTTACAATCTTACTTGGTGGCTATTCCCTTGTCTAAGCATTTTTTGTTTTTGTTTTTGTTTTCTTTTGGCTTGTTTGAATGTTTCTTCATTCTACGGGGAGTCCAACTTCTTTACATTTGCCCCTGGTAATTCCCTATCGTATAGTTTATACGGTTGTTGTTGTTGTTTTTTTCTATTTTTCTCTTATTCAACAAGAACAGAGCAGAACAATGATCAGAGGTATTTATGTACAGAAATAATAGTAGTGATGGTCGTACAAACGGAAATAGGAAGAATGAAAGAAAAAAGATAAGTGGTTTGACGAATACACTAGACAGAGTAAGGATTCATCTGCGGCTGTTGGTAAAGGGTTTTTTTTTTTTTTTCTGTCTGTGTGTGTGAAGTCTAAACGAGAAAAAAAAAACAAGTAAAAAGCTTGAAGGGATTTATTATTATTATTATTATTATTATTATTATTATTATTATTATTATTATTATTATTATTATTATTTCTTTTTTTCGTTTCACTGCCTTCCAAAGGAACGAAGGGGTGGAAGGTCAAACGTTCTTCATTTGTTACAATCTCTGAGATGATTGGTATTACGGTATTTGTACGTATTGTTATTACTGTTGGTTGTGTGATTTTCCCCTTTTTTACTTGAAGATCTATTCACTCCTTTTCACCTTTCCTCCTTACCGCTGTAGATAAGAAAAAACAAAACAAAACAAAAAAAGGGCAAGCAATAAAATAAACACAGACCAAGCAAACACACAAACAAAGCAAAGCCGCAAACCCCAAATCCATTTATATATATATATATATATATATATATATAATATTTATAGATTTATCTATAAACACTTACGTACTTACTTACTCACCCACTCCGTCCGTCCACCGCTCCCCCACATGGCGCTCACCACGCGCATCATCAAAGAGACGGAGAAGCTGCAGCGCGAACACCCCGACGGTATTGAGGCCACACCATCACCCACAAACCCGCGCTACTTTCATGTGAAGATCCGCGGCCCGCCGCAGAGCAGTTACGAAGGCGGCATCTTTCATCTTGAACTCTTCCTCCCAGAGGAATATCCAATGGTGCCGCCAAAGGTACGCTTCCTCACACGCATCTATCACCCAAATGTGGATAAACTTGGCCGCATTTGTCTCGATATCATCAAGGATAAGTGGTCGCCAGCCCTGCAGATCATTAAGGTGCTGCTCAGCATACAGCTGCTCATGTCAAGCCCAAACCCAGATGACCCGCTCGATAATGAAGTAGCTGACGCCTGGAAGCGAGACGAGGCAGAGGCAATGAGCACCGCGCGAGAGTGGACGCGGAAGTATGCCACATCGTAATTGCGTCTGGGGATAGAGAATGATATTGTATTGGATGTTATGCATGTGTGCGATGGCGCACATTTCTCTCGCTTTTTCCCTTCCCTCTACATAACTCGCTTTCTTATTTTTTTTTTCTCTCTCTCTTAGAGAAGGATGGAGAGAGAGAGAGAGAAAGAGAGTTTGTGTTTGTGTGTGAGAGATAGAGAGGGAGAGAAAGAGGAGAAACATTATGAGAAAAAGAAATATAAAAAAAAAAGTGAGAAATTGAATGAGGAAGGACAGGATGAATATGAAGATGAAAACTGACATTATGTGAAGAAGTGCTAAAAACAGTAGGAATAGCTGATGCAGTGCTACTAGTTGCTGCAGTCTTATGGAAAAAAAAAAAAAAACACGAAGGGAAAAAAAAAGGTTGCCCTCAGGTCGCTCTTTCCCCTCCTTCAGGTGTCTTTTGAAGGTACATAGGAGGCAGCCTTTTTTATTTTTATTTTTTTTTTTTCGAGACAGACAGACGGAGAGCGAGAGAAAGAGAGAGGGTGGGTGTGATGAGAAGCATGAGCGTTACTGTGTGCCTTCCATGCGAGATGATGGAAAGGACTAGTGGTAGACCACATCTGCTTGGTATTTTTCAATGTAGTTTCTCAACCCCTTTATACATATACATGCATTGTATCAGTACATCTGTGTGTGTATGGTATATATATATATATATATATATATATCAACCCATCTTTATCTTTTTTCTTTTCTTTTCTTCCTTTTTTTTTTTTTATCTCACGTTACCCGTACCCATGTGGTATATATATTCGCCTATGTCGGAAAGAATAATATCCTAGTTAATCACGCTAAAGTCTAAACACTTAAACAGCACAGTAAGCAACTAAATAAAAATGGCCCGTGCCCGCCGTGCCTCCCCATCGAGCTCGCACCGGGCCGCTCCGCCCCCAGCCCACGCCCCAGCGCCCCAGCAGCACTCCCAACAACAACAACACCACACATCCGCTCAGCAGCCGCAGCAGCCGCAAGTAACAAACATTTACGTCCAGCGGGGCGGGGCGGGCGGCGCGGGGACGGGCATTCTCGGCACTGTCGCCTCCGTCGCCGCGGGGTCCGTCATTGGCCACGGCATCTCCCACATGCTCTTCAACCGCGACCAGCCACCGGCGCAGCCCGCACAGGCGCAGGAACTCGCACAGCAGGTCGGCGATGGCGCGTGCTCCTCGCAAATTAAGGCCTACGCCAAGTGCCTCGAGGCAAACCCAGAGAATCCTGAGAACTGCAAGTGGGCGTGGGAGTACTTCGTTCAGTGCCAAGATGAACACCAGCAGAAGTAGGGGAAATGAAGTTGATAACACAAAAAAGTGTCACAAATATATTAAGTAAAAGAAAAAAAAGGGAAAAAACGAAAAAAAAAAAAATGGGGAAATAAGAATATCAGAGGGCAACCACAGGAGGAATTTTGAGTCAGTTGTCTCTTCGTGAAAATCTCTCTATATTATATTGTTTCGTTACGTCCGATCTGCGTTTACAAGTCCGTTTGTTTTTATTCAATGTTAAAATACTCAAAAAAGAAAAAAAAAGAAATGAGGTACAATGGGTAATTGAATAAGAAGTAGCAGAAGAAAAAAGAGGTAAAGTAAGAAAGGGATATGGAGAGAAACAGGACAAGAAAAAAAAAGAAGAGGGGGATTTGTGTCACACCTATCATGTCACAATTTCTTTCCTATCTGCGTCTCTCTTCTTCACATCTGTTGTGCATTTTCCCGAAAAAATATTCATATTCAAATATATATTTATATTTATTTATTTCCCTTCGACTGTCAAGGGATGAAGTCTTACCATGGTCTTTTTTTTTCTTTTTTTTGTGTGTGTGTGTGAACTTATCCCTAATGGCACTCAATTTCAATTGAGTGTACAGTGACCTTTACTTCTTTCTGTGAGTGTGTAAGCTTCATTCCCTCTCCTTTTTTTTTCTTCCTATTATTACACTTACAATTTTATCTTCCCGGCTATTGTTGTTCCTTTCTTGTATTTTAGCGTGTGTGTGTGTGAGTATGTGTATGCTTTACTAGTCTATCATATAATGTAGTTAAGTACGAATAAAACTGAAAAAAATCATTGGAAAAGACACACAAAAAACCAAAAGCAGTAAGGAAAGGTGGCCTCTAAATGACGCTAATGAATGCCATTGAAATGACAAGTGATGCTATTGGAGGGCATGTTGTTTCAACAGGAAGTATGACGTGAAGAGTCCTCTTCGTTCAGAATGTACTAACCGTGACAGTTGGTATTCATGGTGTAGTCTAGATCAACAACAAAACAAAGAGGAAGAATGTGTTTCATGGGAT